AGGATGGGTATCTAGCAGGCCGTGGTCCTTCTCCTTCTATGTGCTGGAGGCTGGGGGTAAAGTTCCCCAACTTTCTCATTCAGCTTCTCTGAACTATGGGGAAGAGACGTTATCTAGTGGTCAAAGCACAAGACTGGACAATGGCAGACCCGGGTGCTCTTCCCAGCCCTGCCACTGGGTGGTGCTGATGGCCTGGGATATACAGGAGGTCAGACTGGCTGGTCCCTTCTGGCCTTACACTTTATGACTGTCTGTGTCTCTGTGCCTCAGTTTCTCCATATGTAAATGGAGACAAAAATAATACTGACCTACCTCAGTGAGCGGGGTGTGAGGTTCAAAGAGCCCTGGGGTGGTAAGATGGATGGTGCTAGAGGACAAAGCACTGTGTGACTATAGATCTCCCGGGACAGTCCTAGCAAGATGGGTTGGGAGGAGAGGGTTTGTGCTAAACACACCTGATCTAGTAGATCAGCCAGTGCTTTGACTGCACTAATGTCTCCAAGTTCCTGACCCCAACAGGGACAGAGACATGGGGGGCTCCAACAGGCCTCCTCTACCCACAACAACAGCTTCTGCTTCGGCGTGACTCCAGCCAGAGCGGGTGGAGGTGACAAATGACACACCAGCCTGGAGACTGCCTCATTCCTAACTCACAAGGGAGGCCCCATGACATCATCCCCCCAGTGTCGCATTTCCCCCTTCCCCCAAAGCGACTGCTGACGTTTCTGTGAAGCCCCAGCCGGCTTTTCAGAAAGGCCCTGCCTTCTGTCACCTTGGCCACGCCCTTTGCTTGGGGTTCCTGGGGAACCCCATCTGCACCTGCACCTGGATCCCCACCCCACTGAGCCCCACTCTCCCAGCATCTAGCCCCCCCCACTGATCCCCCCACACCCAGACACCCCACCGCTGAGCCCCGACCACCTTCACCTGGACCCCTGCAGAGTCCCATTACCATTGCACCCAGAAACCCCCAACAAGCCCCTGTGCATCCAGATCCCCCCACACCCGGATCCCCCACTGAGCCACCCGCACCCAGATTGCCCCACACAGAACCCTCTCAACCCACACCTGAGCCCCTCCACACTTGGATCCTGCCTTGCTGAGCCTGCCTGCCCACACCTAGCACGGAGGGGCAGGGCCTGGGGTGTTTCTGGGGCAGGCCCGGTCCTTGCGCTGTGTCAGGGTTGGGTGCAGCCTCACCACTAAGTCCGTATCCCAGAGGGGGAGCTGCACAGTGATCTCCCACCTCTGTGCAGCCAGTGGCCTGTGCTCCCCACTGCCATGCTGGGGCCTCCACATTTATTTGACAAATAAAATTTGCAGCATTTTAAAATATTGTGCGCAGAATTTTTAAGTTTTTGGCGCAGAATGCCCTCAGGCCTAGCTCATTCCTGCACTCGGAGGCAGAAGGAGCTAAGCTGCCTAAGCACCTGGCGTCACTCCAGCCCCTGTAAATCTCCTGGCCCTGCTCATTACACGTTCAGTTCAATCCACTGACCCCTGCCCAGGTAACCGTATGGGGCATGCTGGGAGGGAGAGCCAGAGCTATGGCAGGCTCCGTTCCAGGGATTGTGTGGCCTTCCCGTCAGACCCCAGCCCACCCAGACAACAGCTCTGCCCTGCCCTGGGCTCTCGCTGCCGCTTTCACCTCTTGGACAGAGCACCCTGGCTGGGCTACCGGGCCAGGAGATGGTGAGAGATAAGCTTCCCATCTCCCTGCCTGGTACGGCTCTGAGCTTCTGCTTCCTCTGCTCCCCACGCCCACCCTGCGCACACCGCAGTCTCTTGGCTGTCTCTTGACAAGGAAGGACAAGGCTGTTGACCCTGCTGCAAGATTGGGGACACACACACACACACCCCCCAGTGGCATCCCTGACTGCACGGGTCTCATGTGGGCAGGCCTGGGAGTAGATTGTTCTCTGCAGAGTCCATGAGAAACCGAGGCAGTGATAATTCAGTCATAAATACTTGGCCCTTAACACCCCCCCACACACCTGAAGATCTCAAAGCGCCTGGTGCATGTCACAAAATACACATACGTTCTCCACTGGTGAGGCGATATCACTGCCCGCATTTGACAGATGGGGAAACCGAGGCCCAGACCGGTCAAGTGACTCCCTGAGTCAGGGACAGAGCTGGGGAGAGGCCCCAGGTCCCTACCGCCTCAGGTCTGTGCTCTAACCACCCTTCCCCTCTTGTGTCTCCTGTCTGCCTGCCTTCCCCACCATTGCGTTCTCTCCTCCCCCGCAGGGGAAGCGGCCACGGTACCTGTGAGGTTACTGACAGCGTTTCAGCCATTTCCTGTCCTGTCCTGGAGAGGGGTTGGTGGGATGCTTGTGGTTAGTGCAGCATTTTTCACGTAGACTGGCCTCTCCAGCTGGGAGGCTTTAACTGCGTCTGCTGCCTGGGGTGGCCCAGACAGTTGCGGGGGGAGGCAAGGCCATTTATTTTTTCCTGTTTCATTGTTTTCATGTCAGACTCAAAGGCTTAACTGCTCCTCGCGGTGGGCCCCACCAATGCTGGCCTTCCGCCTCCATACGTCCCAGAGCGGCGAGTGATTTGGGGCAGCCAAGCTGAGACGCGAATGTTGCCTGATTTTTCACAAGGTGCTGACTGAATGGCCACCCTCTGGCACCCCAAACCACTGCCCCTTTCTGGAAATGCAGGCCTTTGGGCCCGGTGCTCCATCAGGCCCTGCGGAGCCGCCCTGCCCGTCTCCGACGCCGCAGCCTGTGCTGCCACCCGCGAGGGAGATTCAGCGCCTTGATTTAACCCAGCCCCAGGGCAGGCTGGGCTGCTGCTCAGGGGTAGCAGGGAGAGTGTGCGGGGAGGCGACTGGGGAAGCCTGCCTTAGCGTAGGGCGGTTTTTTCGATTTTTTAAAAACCAATTGTTTCAAGCGAGCTCTTTCTCCAGCTCCATTTCCAACGCTCCCCGCCCCCAGGCCCTGCAATGGATTGCGCCTGAAAGTTCCTTCTTGCTCCACTGAACAGCTGACCCTCCTCCGAGTCCCCCGTCTCCCCCACGGCTGGCCCTCTGCCCAATGGCGCCACGCACAGGGGCGGCTCTGGCTTTTTTGCCACCCCAAGCACGGCAGGCAGGCTGCCTTCGGCGGCGTGCCTGCGGGAGGTCCCCGGTCCCGCGGATTCGGCGGCATGCCTGCGGGAGGTCCGCCGGTCCCGCGGCTTCGGCGTACCCACCGCCGAATTGCCGCTGAATCCGTGGGACCAGCAGATCTCCCGCAGGCGCGCCGCCGAAGGCTGCCTGACTGCCGCCCTCGCAGGGAGCGGTAGGCTGCCCCCCCACGGCTTGCCGCCCCAGGCACGCACTTGGAGCGCTGGTGCCTGGAGCCGCCGCTGGCCACGCAACTCCGCTATGGCTGGTGGATGGTACAAAAGCACTGGGCAGCCCCCCCAGCCGAAACTGCTGGCTCTGATGTGGTGCCCTTGATGGGTGTGATTAGAGCCAGAGGCTAGCTAGCTCCAGAACCGGAGCAGTGAAGTCATGGCAGGTGGGGTGACCAGATGTCCTGATTTTATAGGGCCAGTCCCAGTATTCGGGTCTTTGTCTTATACAGGCTCCTGTTACACCACCACCTCCCGTCCCGATTTGTCACACTCTCTGGTCACCCTAATGGCTGCAGACGCTTCAGTACAGGCTGCCCTGGGACCCTGGGGGTTAGATCGCGCTGAAATGCGCCCTGCTGCAGCTGCAGGACCTGAGCTCGCTACATTACAGCAAGCTCAGGGGATGTCTGCTCAAACGACAATCTCACCCTGTGATTCCAGTACAGACATACCCACAGTAACCCTAACACTAAATAATCAGTCGGCCTTTGATGGTGAGGGATTGTCAAAGGAGGTGCGAAGACATGAGGCTGAAATGACACAAAGGAAACCAGCCACCCCGCTAGAAGCCCATTTTATTATGACAAGCAGACTAGAGCTCCCTGAACTTTAAACTTCGCCAGGCCTCCTTGAGGTCTGAATGAGTCAGCAAGGCTCTCGAGCTCTGCGATGCGACCGGCTGAATGGGGGCTGGCCCGACGCCTCGCGCGGGACAGGCTGCTGGAAGGGTCCGAAGGCAAGGCCAGTAGCAAGGTGGGAGCAGCTGCCAACGTTTGCAGGAGTTGAATAGTCTGAGATGGGTCCCAGGGTAAAAACGAGCCGAGTTTATTTATAGGGTCAGCGGATCTCCAAGGTGAGAAAGAGCAACACTGGTCATGGTGGGGAGCGTCCAGGGCAGGGGCCGGAGGTGAGCACGGGGAGCTAAGGGTTTAGCTGGTGGGAAAAGGTTTCACAGGCCTGGCCACAGATGCTCTGGCCAGCCCTGGTGGAGGTGCTCGCCCTGCAGAGGCGGTGGCAGGCACGGGGGAGTGGGCTCCCGGACAGTTCCCGCCCCTCCCACTGAAAGGGAGCATTTCCCCAGCGCCCAACACCCAGGGCTGCTAGCAGGTGTGGAAGGAGCAGGTGTGGAAGTGGCCACCAGGCTCCTTTGGGGCATACACCAGCTCATTCTGTGCTCTAGGAGTGCAATATGCCAGCAGTGGTTCCCTGTCCTCTGCCCCCCACCCCTTCACCGGAACGGCCATAATCAGCCCCATGGCAAATCGGGGGAGTTAGGGGACATGCCGTGTGCTGCTGGAGGCGGGAGCCAAGGTGGGGAACCCCGGCATGAGTGCCGAGAGTCGGGGACGGTGCTTTGGAGGTGTGCAGGAGGGGGCTGCCGTACTGTTCTGCCCAGTCCCCCAGGCGGGACAAGGAAAGGCTGCAAATCACGGCCGAGAGATTGAACTATGGCTGAGTTCCTTTGGGAGCCTCCCCTGCCGCGCCAGTCCCGCCAGCGCCGTTCTTTCCAAAGGGCTCAGTTCTGTGACTCCCCAAGAAGCACCAGCAGGAGAAACCAAACCCAAACTAGCCGGGGCATCTCCAGCGCCCTTCCCGAAAGACCAAGACTAGAGAGCGCCCGGGCCGAGGACTCCTCTGGACCCAGAGAGGAAGACTCAGGGGCAAGCTGCTTTCGCATTGTCCTCCTCCTCCGTCTCCTCTGGCCCCTTTTCTGTCTTGGCGGCGATACTGTAGTAATAGGAACGGATGATGGTTTCCACCGCTGCAAACCCTGGGCGATCTTCCCACCTGGAAGAGAAGGGAGGCACTGAAGAAGGCTCAGCAAGAAGGACCAGAACGGGTTGACCAAAGCAAACGGGCTAGGATGGGGGGGACAGCCCAGGCGCGCCCTGAGGGTGCACGGTGTTGGTGTCAGGAGTGAGATCCTCAGCTGCACCTGCTCAGTACGCCTGACGCCCTAACAAGCCAGCCAGGCTGCCTCACGGCCTGCCCTGCCTGATCGGCTGGGGAAGCCAGCAGGCCGGTTCTTAAACCTAGCAGCAGCTCGCTGGCTGCTCAACGCCCACGGACTCTGCAAGCCCTGCTCCTGCTCTGCTCCGCCACAGCTCCAGCCCAGACCCTGTCCTGCACCCGGCCTTGTTCCCGGCCTGTTCCAGCCTCGCTCCTGCCTCAGAACCAGCCCTGCTCCTAAGTTCCCTGACGCCTGGTAATCCGGCTCCGACCCTCGGTTCTGCGTCAACCCTTGGTGCTGCCATTCGGCTCTGACTGTCTCACCCCTGGACTCTGGCATTCAGACTCCGACCACTAGGCCTGACTGCCTACGAGTCTGACCCAGTCCGCTGACAGTGGGGCAGAGGGAGCGGGGGATGTGGGAAGATTTCCTGGCACCATGTTTGCACCGGGGCTTGAGAGGAGAGTTCGGCCACCGTGGTCTATTAATCGTTGGCCTCTCTCCTGAGTCTGCAGGTAAGGAAACCAGTTGTGCTAACGGGTCTGGGATGTGGACCCTGCACTGAGCAGGCAGATGCCTGCCACTTCTGACCTGGGCTGGACTCAGCTCAGCGACAGGCTCTGTGTCCCGTGGCAGCACCCCAAGAAGAATCTAGGAATGGGCCCAAGCTGCAGAAGTTGGCTGAGTGAGAAAGACACTGCTGGACTGTGGGAAGGCACTGACCGCTTTGGCTGTGAGCATTGATTCTGCCACGTTGCCAGGCTCCTGGGAAAGGGACCCTCAGGGGTAGGGGTGCCCGCCCTGGGAGTTACCACCCCTGCTGCTTAGCACCCTGGTAAGAAAGACCAACAAGGCCAGTAACTGAACAGACCAGGCAAAGCAGAGCGAAGAGACCCTCCTTCACATGTCAGTGGCAAAGGGAGGAGCCCTTCCAATTGCTCGGAAACCCCAGGGGGAGCAGAGGGGTGAGTCACCCAGAGGGGCTCGCCCTGAGGAGCTGCTATGTTAAATCTAGAGTCGCCCAAGCCTGTTTTGCTTTGCGTTGTGGTACCTAATGACTGATCAGCTAAAACCCTGTCACAACCCTCCGGCTCTTGTCAGTTTCATTTAGGGTCATCCCCATGCACCTGCTGACCACAGATGCTGCAGCCTGGCATGGTGGCCTCTTTGGAGAGGCTGAGACACTTTCCAAGACAGAGAGCCCCAGAGGGGCTCTGACCTCCTCCAGGGGAACTGCAGGCCAGGGGAGGGGAAGGAAGAAAAGGAAATAAGCACCTCACTCATCACAGACCCTGCAGCCCAAGCCAGAGGGAGATCAGGACAGGAGACACCCACACCCACACCCACCCGCCACCCTCATGCAGACAATGTGCCCAGTCCCAAGGGGGCCTGCTCCAGAGATTAGCTGGGGAAAGCCTTACTTGTAGGTCCAACACTGCAGCATCAGCTTGTACATCTCTGCTGGGCAATCTGCTGGGCACTCCATGCGCTTCCCTTGCTCTATGAAACTGATCACCTCGGGGCCTTTCATTTTCTAGGGTGAGTAGGGAAGTGTGTTAATGACCCTGCCCGCCCCACCAAGCACGGGAGCTGATGGGACAGCTGAGAGAGGGCAGGTAAGACACGCCCCTGCCCGGGGGGCCCTTTGCACTGAGTCTGTAAGGGGCTAATGGCACTGGGCGTGGCCCACCTCCTGCGATGATGCTGTCGGTAATCTCAGCACCTTGCATTAGTATCTCACACCTGCCCTGGTGCAGGTCTGACCTCATAACCAGGCCAGCACCCTGCTTTTCGGCAGCGTAGGGGGGACCCCCTCACCATGACTGGGTGATTACTTTGGCTGGCTTCCGTCTCCCTGCCCTGGGAGGAAAGACATCCCAGAGTTCATTGCCCCGCGTACAGCTCTGTCCGCCTGCCCTCTGGGTGCTCTCTCTACTACGGGACTGCTCCCCGGCTCTTTGCGGGATGCATTGAGACAGCGGGGCTGGGGTGGGAGCACAAACTCCGCTGGGGCGGCCGAGGAGCCGCCCTTGGTGAGTAAAGCGGACTCTGATCCAGCAGTGCACCCTCGCGCTGCTCACCTTGTACGGTTTCTGCCCGTAGGTGAAGGCCTCCCACATGGTCACACCATAACTCCACACGTCACTCTTGCTGGAGAACTTGTGGTACAGGATACACTCTGGCGCGTACCATTTCAGGGGCCACTTTCCAGCCGTCCTGGCCTGAGGCAAAGAGATGGAAAGAAGGAGGTAGCTTACCCAGCAAGAGTCTGACACACTGCCATGCCCTGAGCCGGAGCCCCTTGTCCTGGGTCTGCCTTGCCGTATCTGTCGGTCCAATGAACTCAAGACCTCTTGAGTGAGAGTTCACTGACAAAGGCAGATTCAAAGGGCCTAACTCCAAACCCTGGATCCAAGCAACCCCAACAGGTCAGGGAAGCAGTGGGTCATGACCGGAACCAATATCCAATTTATAGAATAGAATATCAGGGTTGGAAGGGAGCTCAGGAGGTCATCTAGTCCAATCCCCTGCACAAAGCAGGACCAACCCCAACTAAATCATCCCAGCCAGGGCTTTGTCAAGCCTGACCTTAAAAACCTCTAAGGAAGGAGATTCCACCACCTCCCTAGGTAACCCATTCCAGTGCTTCACCACCCTCCTAGTGAGATAGTGTTTCCTAATATCCAACCTAGACCTCCCCCACTGCAACTTGAGACCATTGCTCCTTGTTCTGTCGTCTGCCACCACTGAGAACAGCTGAGCTCCATCCTCTTTGGATCCCCCCGTCAGGTAGTTGAAGGCTGCTATCAATTTATGAGCTGGCCCCTAACACTATACCGGGATGAACCAAAAGCCCAGGTCTGAAAACCCCTGCACTTTGAGCTGTTTGAATCCGGATCGGAGTCCAAATGGTGCACTGAGTCCATCGCTAATTCAAAGCTGAGCTATCGGAGCAGGGTCCTTCGAGCAACCTCCTTTCTGGCTCTCCAAGGGGTAAGTCTGCCCCAGTGTCATATGGGGAGAGAGCCCCGTTTGCCAGAATGGCTGGAGGATGAAAGTAACAGGAAGTTCTGTCCCTGTCTGAAACGGAGCCTGGGATCAGCCCATCCTCCATGTGACTAATGAGCTGTTTATAGAGCCCCGGGGTGTCCTCTGGGGCCCCTGAAGGCAGAGTCCAATCCAGATCTGTCTTTCCCCCAGAAGGCACGCTCTGGAGGCAGCGTTCCAGCCAGGAGCTATGCCTGTTCTTGATCCATAACGCCCATCTCAGGGCGGGCGGAACAACAGCTCATCCAGAGCACAGGGTCTCCTCTTGGACGCCCTCCAGATTCAGTGGTGTCACCTGGCAGATGCGTGTGCCACTAGGTTAAAAACACGACACAACACACCCAGGCTGGGAAATGAAACTGGGACCTGAGCTGTGTCTGGAGTGATAACTGTGCGAATGGTGCCACCGTGTGGCAGCCACACCTGACTACGTTGGCAATTGTTATTTACTCTCTAGTGTGGGATCACCGGGGGGCCCCCCTTGGGGAATGGGGCTCCTTGTGCTGGGCACTACAGAGACACAGAACAGAAAGCTGGTCCCTGCCCTGATGAGCGTCCATCTACTCAGCATCGCTCCTTCTTCCGCTCGCTCTCTGGCTTCTCTGCTTCGCTCCTCCCTTCTCCAGCAGCTCCACGTGGCTGCAGTGAAAATAACCTTCTCCCACAACTCCACCCCATCTCCCACCATCCCTGCCCCCGCTTTGGTTCCCTCCTCCCTTTGTCCATGAGTATTTCGAGCCCCTTGTCACCCTCAAGGCTCAGCAGAGCTCCCGGCTGCCAGCATCTCCACTCTTGTTTCTTACTTCACCCTCCCCCAGCCTCTCCTCCTACATACCTAGCACCCCCCACACCTCTTTCAGATCCCTTCCCAGACCTCTCCTCTGTTGTGTGTCTTTCCTCTCCAGCATTATGCATCTTCATTCTTACCCCTGATCCTTCCATTGTACCCGTCTGTGTCGAATTGTACGTTCCTTGGGGCAGGGACCGGCTTTCTGAATGTTTGCAAAACCCCTTGTACAGCTATGGCATTATATAAACAACAGGCATGATAAGAACTTGGGGTGATCACGAGGCAGAGCTCCTGGGAATGGCTCTAGGTTTCAGCAGCAAGCCAGAAAGGTTCAGGTCACAGGGTGTTCTGGGTGAGCGTCCCAATGGCACGCATGTGAGAGGCGTGCCTGGCTTCCGTTAACAGGTGGAGTGAAGGGCACGGACTCCATCGGGGCTGACTCTGTAGATATGCCCCGGCCCGTGATTCCTCTGCTGTGCTTCCACTCACCTTGTAATAGCTGTCATCAGCTGCAAGCGCCTTGGAGAGTCCAAAGTCACTGATCTTGGCATAATGCTGGTTGACTAGCAGGACATTTCTGGCAGCCAGGTCTCTGTGGACGAAGTTTTTCTCCTCCAAGTACTTCATCCCGATAGCCACCTGGTGCATCAGCTCTACAATATTGCTCACTGGAATCTCCTCTCTGGGGCAAAGAAAAGAGAGGACAATACAGCAAGAAATCCCTGTACAAGTAGGAAACTGTCATTACCGTGGCCCTCGGAGCTTCACAGCCACAGTGAGCAGCGAATTCGGACTCTCCTACTTCGGAAGCATCAGCCCTTACTAACCAAGGTAAAAGAAAATCTCCCTTAGCTATTAGCAGTACAGGGCCTGTGACACACAGCTGCATAGTTCTGGTTACACACAATAGAAGACCATGATATGCGCACACTAGCAAGTACAATACTTTATTGGGCAGTTCCACTAGCCAGCCAATACATCCTCCACCACCAGCTTGCTGACATATTGTTGCTAGAACTTGATGGCACTCCAGGCCTCTTGTGAAACAGGGCCATATCCCCAAGTAGTGCTATCACCGTGCTGGGAAACCGAGAAAGCTGGTTGGCTGGACAGGATGTTAGCTGTTGATTGAAAGGCCCAACAGAACATTTTAAGCATTTTCATTCTTCCTTATTATTTGCATTGTGTTAGATTAGATCAGGGTAGATGGCAGGCAGGCAGATGATACCTGAGCGTGTGATATAAACGTCTCAGGAGTCTGAGATGTCGGCTCATCACTTGAGAGGCAAAGGCTTGAGCGAATTCTGTGGGTCAACCCAAATGTGTGCCAAGAACCCCTACTCGTCCTACAAGTGCCACCGCCAGACTATTCTAGGAAAGTTTCAGAGAGCTCCCTAGTGTTTTATTGGGACTATTTTCCATATCCCTCCATCTTCAAAGCAAGTTGTCCGCCGTTACTGTGAGTCTGACGGGACAGTGCCCAGAAGCGGAGAGGAATCAGCCAGCCATGGCTATTCTGTACCCCAAAGAAACTCACCTCTTGGAAGCCAAGAACTTATTGAGTGGCCCGCCCGAGGCCATCTCCATGACCAGCATCAGGGACTCTGCCTCGCAAACCCCGATCATGCGGACGATGTAGGGGTTATCCAACTGGTGCATGATCTGTGCCTCCTTCATCATTTCATCCTTCACGGCCTTCTCGTTGTTGCTCTTCAGCACCTTGATGGCCACATCGATCTGCTTCCTAGCCGGGGGCGAGAGGAGAAACGCACAGGGGGTGGGCTAAGCTGCAGATGATGGAGTGTATCGCAGCCAGTAACGCGAACCAGCCATCAGTGGTACTGTTTAAAGCTGGTGGCTCACTAGGCTGTATCTACAATGCCTGGGGTAATAAGGATATTATTAGGGCATCTCGTTCCCAGTTATGGTCATGGGCTACAGGTCTGTGAAGCCAGGCTACCGCAGATTAACTCTGGGTGAGGTGCTCCTGCAGCAGAGCCCCTGGGGAACCCTCTTCGAGTACGCAAGGACAGGAAACGGTAGCTAAAGAAATAATGACAGCAACTGAGAGAAAACTTCTGTCTCATACTGTGCAATCGGGGGCAGTTAGTCTCTTCCCTCCCCCTTTCTAAAGGCACCTTACAAAGCAGGATCAGTATTATTGCTGCCCTTTCACAGGTGGGGAAACTGAGGCACAGAGAGGGGCGGGAGCATTTCCAGGGTCACATGGGGAGTCAGTAGCAGAGCCAGGAATAGAACCCGTCTCCTCCTTCTCAATACCATACCCCATCTAGCGGATCAAGGTGCCTTCCTTAAAACCATGAGCTCCCCCTCTGAATTCACGCCTGGCCAGCAGACACCTCCGGTACTGGCAGTCAATGTGCGAGTTCCCATTGCTGGCCTATCCAATGTGCCCCACATTCCCCAGTGCACATGAAGTCGCTGTGGCACCTTTCACCAGTAGCTTTCCCATGCCCCCCATCAGCACAGACACTCCAGTCTCCACCCCTGTTACAGCGTCTGCTCTAGCGATGGGTCCGAACCAAAGCCCTGGACCCAAACTCCCCTGACCTGGGATGGGTTTGACCCATCTCTAGCCTAGGCTCAGTCTGAACCATGCTCCCCTTCTCATCCCTTTTGGACAGCGCTTACTTCCGCATCTTGTAGACTCCTTTCCTGACGCAGCCGAAGTTCCCTGACCCCAGTTCCACCTCGTCAATCATCAGGTGGTCCCTCTTCAGGAAGAGCTTCTTGTCCTTCAGCTCCTCCGGGTCACTGTAGGGGCTCTCGTAGACGCTGGTGTCCATGGGCAGGAGGCGCGATTTCCCTGGGCCTTCCACAGGAGAACAAGGCCAGGGATCTGTCACACACCCCCTGCCAGAACCCAGAGCCTCCCCATTCCCTCTGGCCACTGTCCTCCCTGCGCTGACCTTCCAGCCTCCCTCTCGGTCACCTCCCTTGGCTTTCCAGCCTGTGCTGGTCCCTCCCACCCCACTACTGGGTGGAGTTGGAGCTGTCAGTGCTCCCACTACCCCGAGCCCTGGTCCTAAACACGCCTACTGTGTGCACGGCTTCTCACACGTGAGCAGTGCCCCTGAAGCCTCATTATGCACGTGTTTCAGTGTTTGTGGCTTCGAGCCCACCGAGAGTAGTGAGGCAAGGGAAGGGGGGACAGGACTGAGCTGGGCTTGGTTTATTCCTGGGAGCGACCGTTTTATAGCATTCATGCAAGTGGTTTGGGGCGCTGGAAAACAAATGGGACCTTTGGATTGTCCTCGGGTGCCTTGAGTGCGATGAAAGCCTTGTAGCACCTCTCTTAGCCAGAAGGTGGTGCTCATGTGCCAGGCATTGTGAAAAAGCTCGGTTGCATTGTAGCTGTAGGTACATGCGGCACCACTAGCTCGCGTCCCACAGCTTGGCTGGCCTAGGGCGCCCTCTCCCGGATCTGTAGTGACAGGAAGGGAGGCCTCTGCAGCGATACTCACCTATGGGCTCCGGGGTGTATCCGTCTGCGTTAAGAGCCCCCAGGTGTCTCTGGGCCTGGGAGAGAAACAGTGATAAAGTAAGTGATGCATTTAATATAAGATGAAGGAAACCATAGGCATCGACTCTGTGGGTGCTCCAGACCTGGAGCACCCATGGAAAAAAAATACAAGCCACAGCTGTTTGGCGGCACCCCTGATTAGCTGATCAAGGTGCTGCCAAACAGCTGATTGGAGTCACTGCCAAGCAGCTGATTGGCCGCTGGGGGAGGGGCTTGGCAGGGCAGAAAGCAGCGAGCGAGTGGGGGCCTTGGGGAGGGCTGCAGTGGGGGTGGGGCCCTGGGGCAAAGCAGGAGTGGTGCATCCCCGGGGAAAAGAAAAACTCAGTGCCTATGGGGAAAACAATTGGGGTGGGGGACTGGGACCCTCCAGAACCAGTGCCTTCCCATAATCCCTATGGCTCTATGAGATCACTGCCTTTGTGTGCCTACTCTCTGGCTAGCAGCATCTACTGGGGCAGCACATGCACCCTGCCTATGCCCCAAGGAAACAGAGAGAGGGCAGCCCCATCCACCACGCTGTCCCTTCCACCCCACACACAATCTGTAGAAGGAAGGGGGTGGGGAGGAGGGATCCAGGCCACCATCTCAACGCTGGGTAAGGAACTTCTCTTTGTTCTCCAGCCATGGCTTGAGTGCACCCCCAGGGCAGATGGGCTGGAGCCAGTCTGGGATCTGTCTGCTGGGAGATACTCTGCTGCCCATCCGGAGTCCAGCTCTGCCCCAATAACTCTATAGATCCCGCTCCTAGTGCTGGGGGAAGTGGCTATTCCTAGGTGGATTCTTAGGCACAAAGACTGGAAGAAGGGGCAGGCTGTCTGGAGAGTCGAGTGCACCCTTCTGTGATGCATCGTCCTTTATTAGCCAGGCACCGAGACTCATGTACACGAATGCCCAATAGAGCTGGGAGTCCCTCAGCCCCCCTTTGTGTGTCTCCCTCCCCGGAGTCCTGCGGTGCCTGCAGCACTGTGCACTCAGCAAGGCAGAGAAGCAGGGGCCCGAAGATCGGGCTAAAAGCCAGTGGTTAGGCAGGTCTGCCTGAGTGTTCCCAGCCTCTGCCAGGCAGGCCGGCCTGGGGCTAAGCTGGACTCCCCAAATTACAGGCCCACATGTTGCATGGCAGACGCTTGCTTCCATCTCCAGCTGTAATGGCCACAGGGTTAAGCGACCCGTGTTACATTCCAGTCAAGTCTCTGCCTTTCAGAGAAAGGCAGGATTTTCTCCCCAGGTAAAAGGCAAGGACGTGAGAAGCTCTGGAGGGACGGAGAGAAGATACCGCCCCAAACTTACGCTTCCGGAGGGGTGGGCCGGCGGGAGGGGTGCCACGGTTGCTGAAAATCAGGAAAGAGACGTTAGCTCGCTGCCCTGCCCAAAGGGGGTTCCCGTCACCTCTTTTGCCCAGGCCTGATTCCAGTTCGCACTGGGGGCCCTTCAGCCTGCTCTGACAATGTGGAGTCAATGAGGAGGAGGACCCCAGACTCTGGTGTGGGTAGGTGACGGGTGCAGGGAACCCCGTGGCTGGCAGCAGGGACTGCAGTTCTGCCCCTGCCCCGGGAGAAATACTGCAGTCCAGAGAACAGGGCACTGATCTGAGATTGACTAGACATGGTCCTGATTTGGGGGGCCCAGCTTAAGACACCTTAAAGGGGGCCTGATTTCCAGGGAGTGCTGAGCACCTGCCCTTTGAAAATCAGGCCCCTTCAAGGTGTCTCAAGTGGGGCACCCAAAATCATGAGTCACTTTGGAAAACCTGGGCTTTCTTCCCAGCTCTGCCACTGTCTCACAGTGACCTTAGGCAAGCTCCGGAGGCCACCGTTGGCCTAAGTGGCCACTAATTCTTGCCCCACTTGGGACATTGTGGCCCTGATTGTCCGAGGTGCTGAGCGCCCACATTGTGTGTCCCTCCCGACCAGAATGGAGACATATTGGTTGGGTCCGGTGGGGAGGAGCTTGTCCTGTTGCTGCTCAGACTGACCCTGCTGGGGGGATAAAAGGCCTTAAGACTCCAGGGCTGTCAGTCTGGCACCGCTCCCCAGCAGGAGATACACTCGGCCTCAACAAAAACGGGGAGGGATAGCTCAGTGGTTTGAGCATTGGCCTGCTAAACCCAGGGTTGTGAGTTCAATCCTTGAGGGGGCCATTTAGGGATTTGGGGCAAAAATCTGTCTGGGGCTTGGTCCTGCTTTGAGCAGGGGGTTGGACTAGATGACCTCCTCAGGTCCCTTCCAACCCTAATATTCTATGATTTAAAACAGCCAGGGAGCGACAGAAATGAAGCAAATACAAAATAAACCCCTTCCCTTCCCCTGGACACACAGCCAGAACCATTCCACACGCTTGGCAATGGGTCAGCTGGCATGGGGCAAACAGAGCCCCTTGGCCTTCCTGCTTGAACGAGGGCACCGGGTGACGGATACCTCAGTGTGGAAATGAAAACCAGTGGCTGGGTTCAATGGTGCTAAACCAATATACGCCAGCTGAGGCTTTGACCCCCTCTGTCCTATCTCTGGATCTGGTTTCATCATCGCCGTCTTTGTTTATTTCCACCATGTACAGCTTTGCGCAACGGGCTACCCGTAGGGAGGGGCCTGTTTTGCCTTCATCTGAAATATCACCCCCCTTTCAGCAGCGGGCCAGACACCGCCCTAGAATGATGCGGGGGCTGGTTTGCTAAGGCAGGAGTTGGATAGCAGAGGAGAGCAGTGCTTAATGTGGAGTGAAACCATCGGGGGAACTCTCCCCCCAGCCACGGGAGAGGAGGGGAGGTGTGAGAGCTGAGCTCCTACCCTCTGTTAGCCCCCATCGTAGCCCCTGGCCAAGACGGGGTGACGTTGCGCTGCAGTTTAGCAAGAGCCAGGATAGGCCAATGCCGGCGCCTGCTATGAAACACGCCCATGTCGCAATTGCTGTCCCCGAGCAGATCCAGGGCCTTTCGCCCAGTATCCTCCGTCCAACACTGGCCATCGCCTGATTCTTCAGAGAGAGATGTGCAAAAATCCCAGATAGAGACCGTTCGGCCAGGGGGCGGGATGCTAACTGAGCTGGTCCCAGTGATCTGATCTAATATGGCAGGAAGCAAGAGAACAGCGGGGCAGATCCACCAGAAAACCGAATGAACCTTGGGGCTACGGTAGATCCCCAGGATGAAGACGAGGTTTGATGTTTGCAGCTGGTCCTGCCCTTAAAATTCAACTCACCTGCCGGCATATTGGGATTATGGCAGCTTTCCTTCAGGAAATATATCAGTCCGTCTGGCTTGAGTTTCAAGTACTCCACCAGCTGGGGGAGGGATCGGGAAAAGGAGAGGGAGGAAAATCACCGCTTTGTTTTACAGGCAACGTTTGTGGTTTATGGGAACTATTTCTCTTAGGTCTGTGGCGGACAGGCCCCCATTAGCCCATTAGTTCCTCTCATCTGTCTATGCACTCGGGACCCTCTTTGCTCTGTATTTACAAACCCTGCTGGCTGGGGAGAGGGATTTGGGTTGTTACTACACAAAGGGAAAGCGAACAAGGACAAAAGAAGGGATAGCTCAGCAGTTTGAGCATTGGGCTGCTAAACCCAGGGTTGTGAGTTCAATCCTTGAGGGGGCCATTTAGGGAACTGGGGTAAAAATTTGTCTGGGGATTGGTCCTGCTTTGAGGAGGGGGGTTTAACTAGATGACTTCCTGAGGTCACTTGCTGATTCTGTGAAAAGGAAAGTCTGCAGGAGTAGAGCCAGTTAGAACATTTCCAGGTAAATGAAATGTGATTGAAGCCAAAATGGTTCACAGAGAGGTGTTGGTTTCAGTGATTGTGAGTAAGACTCTCATTCAACTCTATTGCCTGGGCACGTTACTGAGGGGCCCGGTTCAGGTGTCTGGCTCATGCAGAACCGGGCCTTGAACCTGGGTCTCCCAGGCTGGTGCTTTAGCATATGATAAGTTTCTCTGTCGCTCCACCCCCACAGCAATAGATGTTCAACACAATTCCTTTTTTGTGAAAACATTTTGTTTTTGTTTAACTGCAGAATGAAAACACATTTTAAACCCTCAAGACTTGCTCTGAAATGGAATGGTCGTCCTCCGGACAGCTCTGTCCAGGAGAGAGCATAGTGTGTGTCTTCTGTGCAACAGACTGCAGCAGTTCTGAGACCAAAATGGCTGCTGTCTATGCACACGAGAGAGATCTTTGAAAAATAAAGGTGGCGTTCACAGAAGACAAAAGGCATCCGAGTTTCCTGGCTATGGACACATCACAGCAGCAGGAAGTGGCTCACAGTAGGAGGGAAGGACAGGGGATAGGCAGGTGAGTCAGGACTCGTTGTAGGCAGGAATCTCTAGCATTATGTGGGGTGATCCTATGGCTAGGTACGTGATGTATGCTCACCGAGTACAGGCTTAGTTAACAAGGCCACCTCGAGGTTCCTGACCATGAAAGCGTAGTGGCCAGGGGGCTAGAAATAATGGGCACTGTTCCTCTCAGTTCGAGGCCATGTTCAGATCTACAGCAGAGAGTGCTAGTATTATTGCACAGAACTGACTGGGGAGTGGATACAGGAAGCAGGAAACTGAGGTCTAAAGGATTAATGCTGCCTCTGGAAAGAGCTCTTCTCTCCTGGTAGAGAGCTCTTCTCTCTTGGTCGCCGATAAAGCTCAAATCTTTCTATCCCCCAAGACCGAGACAAGAGAACTCTCCTTCTCCTGACTGGGGAGAGGGGGGCCTGGGGAGAGCGTCCCGCCGCATCATACCTGCCACAGCGTGTCAAACTTGGTTCCCTCGGGGATGGAGTACTTGCCGGACTTGTCCTGGTCGATGCGGTAGTGATACACTGTTTTCCCATAGACGAGGGACAGCGCGTAGGTGCCATTTTCCTTCCTTTCTCGCAGTCTGGGTGGGAAGGAGGAGGGGGTCAGAGTGGCTGGCTTTGGGGCTCGCCCAGTGAAATCACCGGGCGCCCTCACTAGGCGCCTGTACCAGAGCTCTGGGAAAGGTCACCCCCTCCCACGCGGGTCACATCCTTCCATGGGGGGGTGGGATTTGCTCCCCATGGAACAGGCCGGAAGCCTGGTTTCCAAATCCTGGGGCGCTCACATCTCCTGGACGGGTACTAATCTCAAGGCAGAGACTCAGCGCGCCACACTGGTCCCGTCCTCGCCGATCTCCCAGCACGCACTTCACAGCAGCACTGTTCTGGTCCTTTCCGAGCCCACGCCCGAGTGGCAATGGGAGCTGCTCTTGGGCCTCCAGAGCTTCTCTGTGGAGCTCCATGGGGCTCATTCCTCCGCCCCCCACCTCTTGAAACGTGGGGAACTGTAACATGGGCTCAGCTGCTGGCCCAGCCCTGACGACACCCGGCTCTGCATCGCCTCGGAAACAAGCAGACGGGGCATAATGGGGTTGGAGGGTCACGGTAATAGGAGCAGGTATCTCCCAGCGCTTTGGATACTCACAGAAATTTCCCATCAGGCTGTGCTCCGGAATAGAGCCTGCGTTCAGCCTCCTCCCGGGAGATGTTGCCGTGGTACCAGGGCATCTTCTCGTGGGCAGTGGTGGCAATGAGTTTCTCGACCTGAGGGGCCTGGCTTATGATGGCCTGTTCCAGGGCATCACCCTGCAAGGAAGCGAGAAGGGAGACCATTCTACCCAGCTACTGCTAGGCACCGTGCCAGCTGCTGCAGGGCAGCGCTGGTTTTTATTGCATCCTCTTGGGCAGGTGATAGCGACCTCTCAGGAGACCTCAGAATCCCTCTCTTGGTCGCCGATAAAGCTCTGGCTGTCGGCACCACTGGAGCGATACTGGGCTGAATTCTGCTCCTGTCTAAATCCAGAGTGACTCCATTGTCCAAAGGCGTCACTGTCCCTCCTGCCCCTCCCCACCCATTGTGGGGAAGGGAAGAGAGCTCACCGACTTACAGGTGAGAGAAGCGGAAGGTCATGGTGGCCTTTAGAAGAGGACTATTGTTAGAGCTGGTCACAAGCCTTGGGGTCTGTCTTCCAGTGTCAATCCAGAGCCCTTTTAAACTCTCTCCTGGCTGCTCTGTCTCCCTTTACTTTGCTCCCTAGTCCCTGTTAAGATCAATGTAATCTTGAAGCCATTCACAGTGCACGGCAAGTTTATGGCTCCCACAAATGTATGGACAATTACATTTTCTTATTCGCCTGTAGATGGCACACTTTATATAACGACCTGTACTCGCATGGAAGCACCTATATCTCCTGTGTCTGAGGATTTGTCTACACCACTGGCCGGATCGATGGTAGCGATCGATCCAGCAGGGGTCGGTTTATCGTGTCTAGAATACTCCACCGCAACGAGAAGAGCGTCTCCCGTCGACACACCGCAGTGAAGACACCGCGGTGAGTAGATCTAAGTATGTCAACTTCTTGACATACTTAGTTGCGTAACTTAGTGCAGGCCAACCCAAACAGGCCCCAGCATGTGCATAATGCCCATCCTGCCAAATCCCTCTACGACCCCTCGTGGATTGCACCTGGTGACTACCAGAGCACGAGGTAAGAACCTGGGGAGCACTGCAGCTGTAAAGCTGGGAATCTTTCCCAGCCACCTTAGGGATTTATTGATTTCTGATGGGCAATGGGTACCCAAATCTCCTAGGCGATTTTGCCACTCCACCTTCAAAGAATGTCTTTTCATTCTTAGCACAACGGAGTCCTGGTCCAGGACTGGGGACCAGGCTCCTAGGTGCTATGATATTATTATTAATAATAATAACATAGACAAGCCATTGAGTTGGTGATGCCTTTCTGTTGCAAGGCAGGGTTGCCAATTTTGGTTGGACGTATTGCTGGAGATTTCATCACATGACATAATCTTTAATTAAAGGTTAATCTTTAATTCCTGGAGACTCCAGGACAATCCTAGAAGGTTGGCAAACCCATTGCAAGGGCTTATTTCTATTAGAACAGTGGGTAGGACCATATTAACCCTTTGAGGCCTTAGTTTGCTCTCACACCGCTGTCAGTCATGGAATTACTGCATTGAAGTCTATACACTTACACCAGTGGAAACTGGCAAGGAACTTCAGAGGGACCTAACCAAGCTAGGGAAATGGGAAACACAATAGCAGATGAAATTCATTGTTACAAAGGCGAGGTAATGGACATTGGAGGGAATAATATGAACTGGGTTCTAAATTGACTGTATTAGCTAAGAGAAAAGACCCCGGCATCGCTATGGACAGTTCAGTGAAGACCTTTGCTCAATGTGGACTACAGGTTGAAAAAAGCAAAATTTCTAAGATGCAAAAAGAAGGGGACGGAGCGTGACATTGAAATTACTGTAATGCTATTATACAAATCAGTGGTGCATCTGCCTCTGAACTAGTGTGTGCAGTTCTGGTCACCGGGTGACATTCTGTACCTTGTGGGAGCACCTTGTAACCCCCATATTCCTCATTTATATGTGATTGTGATTTTACATATAAAGCATGCTTTGTGAGGTATCAGGAGAAAGATTATGACCTGCTGAAAGTCATTTCTCCATCCATATGTGCATATCATTAATGCCTAGGAAGTTATGAGAATTGTGTTGTATGGTGGTCACGAAAACATGCTGTATGTTGGGGAATCAGCCAGACATTAGCTCCCGAGAGGCAACAGCAAGGAAAGTAACCAAGGCCCAGGTGGGGTATCAATCAGCCCATCAACAACCATTGTCCAGCAAGGGAGTTACGATGCAATGATTCACCTGCATGAGGCCACAGCAGGGGAATTGCTCAGCCTTGCCTAGAGACTTAGCAAGGCCCACCCAGACATGTCTGGACATGTGTTTTCCAAGACAAGACTCCAACACAGGAGATAGGCCCAGGTTTAAGGAACAAACCTGTATATTAAGGACTGCAATAGCCAGTGGGGTGAGAAAAACTCCTTCATCTAGTTGCTGCCCGGTCTAACAGGGTTGAGAGGTTAGACTGAGTGCTTGTATTTTATTTCTTTTGGTAACTAACTCTGACTTTTTGCCTATCACTTAAAATCTACCTGTTATAGTCAATACATTTGTTTAACTTTACCAGTGAGTTTGTATGAAGTGGGGGGCAAATCTGCTCAGGTTTGACAAAGGCTGGTCTATGTCCACTTTCCACTGATGAAGTGGTGAACCAATTAATAAATCTGCACTGTCCATCTGGAGCAGTGCAAGACGGTATATTCCTGAGGTGCAGTGCTGGGAGCTGGGGGATTTGGCTCTGTGCAGGGCCGCCCAGAGGGGGGGGCAAGTGGGGCAATTTTTCCCAGGCCCCGGACCCCGCAGGGGCCCCCATGAGAGTTTTTCGGGGCCTCTGGAGCAGGGTCCTTCACTCGCTCCGGGGGCCCCGGAAAACTCTCGCGGGGCCCGGGCCCCCGGAGCTTCTTCCGCTCCGGGTCTTCGGTAGCAGTTCGGCGGCGGGGGGTCCTTCCGCCCCGGGACCCGCCGCCGAAGTGCCCTGAAGACCCGCGGCGGGGGGTCCTTCCGCCCCGGGACCCACCGCCGAAGTGCCGGGTCTTCGGCGGCAATTCGGCGGCGGGGGCCCCCTGCCGCTGAACCCCAGGCCCCCTGAATCCTCTGGGCGGCCCTTGCTCTGTGTGATTCATGAGTGGCTCTGAGAGCATTCATGCAATCTAGCTGAGTGTGGGGCTCCACATGTGGTTGTGCTGAGTGATGTTTGCACTTGGAGGGTCACTTCTGGTCACTAGCAAGGCATTGTGGGAGACAGCCCAGGCTGGAGTGAATCCAGGGGGCACAGCGGTCCCACAGTCCCAGGCTTCACCCCAGGGAACCCGTCACACACCTCATCTAAAAATAAGATATTGCTGAATTAGAGGAGGTTTGGAAATGGGCAACATGTTTAGGGGCGTGAAATAGTCTAATATGAAGAGAGATTGTAAAGTCTGGGACTATTTTCCGTGGAGAGGAGGTGAATAAGATGGGCCGTAATAACGTATACAAAGTATTGGATAATAAACAGAAGGTAGAGAGGAAACTTCTAATCATCCGCTCTTGGTATACAAGAACAAGGGGATGTTCAATGAAACAAAAGTGTCAAATTTAAAACGGATAAAAGGCAGGATGTCTTCACACAATTATAATTAGCCTGCGGAACCTTCTGCCACAAGATCTCACTGAGGCCAAGAGCATAGCAGATTTCAAAAAAGGATTGGAAATGTCTATGGATAACAAGTACATCCACAGTTACATTAGACAGAGGGTAAAATTATGTAAGGGACATATGTTATAAGGCATAAGCCAGTCAGTCTGCCTGGGGGCTAGGAGAAATTTCCCATGTGAGCAGGTTATTTTATAATTGTCCATTATGGAGTTTACTGCATCTGCTCTTGTGGAGGATCTGGTACCAGTCATTGTTAGGCCTGGTCTACACTAGGACTTTAATTCGGATTTAGCTGCGTTAATCCGAATTAACCCTTCACCCGTCCACACTACAGAGCCAGTTAATTCGAATTAAAGGGCACTTAAAATCGATTTCTGTACTCCACCTCGACGAGCGGAGTAACGCCTAAATCGATTTTGTTAATTCGAATTAGGGTTAGTGTGGCCGCACACCACCGAATTACTGTGTTTAAGTTAATGGGGTAGTGTGGCCGCACACCACCGAATTAATGTGTTTAAGTTAATTGGGTAGTGTGGCCGCACACCACCGAATTAATGTGGTTAAAAACCGAATTAAGGTGCTTAGTGTGGCCGCGCACAATCGAATTTATACAACCTGTTTCCCAAATTCGAATTATCTAAATTCGGATTAATCCTGTAGTGTAGACATACCCTTAGAAGACAGGACACTGGAGCAGATGAGTCATACTAATAATTAATATAATACTTCTTAACTAGCACTTTTCATCCATACAGCGCAAAGCACTTTACAAAGGAGGGCAGTAGCATTATCCCATTTTACACATGGGGAAACTGAGGCACAGAGCTGGGAAGTGACTTGCCCACAGCAAGCAGCTGGCAGCGTAGCAGGAACTAGAACCCGAGTGGCCAGATCCCAGTCTGGGGCTCTGTCCACGAGGCCACACTGCCTCTCTCATAGATAGGTCTTATGACCTATAAAGCCCTAAATGGCCTAGGACCAGCCTATCTAAGGGATCTCCTCTCTCCCAGTGCCGTACTGTAGTCAGCCGGGGCCTGCAAGCTGGATATCCCTCGTTGCAAAAGAGGGGGGGTGCCTGACAGAGGGGGCCTAGAGATTTTAGAACTTGCTTCCCCCTTTGGTCTGAACTAGCCTGGTGACCTTGTTGACATGCTGCAAACGCCGCCTGTTTGCGAGGGTTTGGGGAGAAGGCTGGCGGTGTGCTTCCTGGAGGAGGAAGGGCGGAAGGGACTCCCTGCTGACCTGCTCAGATGAATGCTGCTGAGTTCTAAATTGCATGCACTGTTGTGCGGTCCGTTGCCTAGAGCCTTGGACAGGCGTCCTTCTCGTTATTTCGTAATGGGAATAAATAGATACGTCGCTAGCTCTGATTCGATACACCAGTTCCTGCGTCCACAAGCAAAACTCCCCGTGACTTCAGTGATGAAAGAACTGAGGCAAAGCGGAATAAGCATCTCAGGATCTGGCTCTGTACACGTCCCGTACAGCCCCGCTGAAGCACAGCCAGCTTGGGCTGAGTGCATAGTAGCACCTACCACGCTGTAGCCAGGCTAAGGACACTGGGGGTAGCCCCCCTCTTATGCTGTGAGCTCTGCAATGGCCACGCAGGACAGACAGGACCTGTCTCGTTAAGCCGGAGCAGAGGGAGAGAGGAATTTGAAGGCATAGGCAAAGGATCGGCGCTATGGCTGCAGAGGGAACTGGAAAAGGGAGGAAGATTCAGGGAGGCTTTGCCAAATGGCAGAAGCCCCAGTTGTGCTGAGCGTGTGGAAAGGGATAGAGACGAGTCGGTGTGGGATGAATGGAGGGAGGAGGAGTTGAGGGAGTCCCCGGAGGGGTCTGAATACAGCGTTTGCCTTGGGACCAGCCAGTACCTCCAATTTCCACGTCTGCCGCACGTACTCGCGCACCATGTTGTCCCGCATGCTGTCGAAGACGCCGGGCTGGAGCTCCACGCTGCTGGGGCGGTTGCAGGGCTTGCGGAGGGTGCAGCAGAGCCCGTCGGCGTCCTTGGAGTAGAATTCGCAGAGCTCCTCCGGCCCGCAGTGCGCCTTGCCCCCCGCGATGGCGTAGGTGCCGTTCAGCTGGCGCTCGATGGGGTAGTGGTAGAACTGCAGGTTGTGCACCATGGAGAGGACGTAGCCCCCCAGGCTCCGCAGGCACTGGCGCAGCAGGAAGAGGCCGTCCGACATGCCCGCCAGTTTGAGGTACTCCTCGGCCTCCGACCGGGAAATGCTGCCGTAGAAGAAGGGCAGGTGGCTGGCTGCATCCGGCATCTCGTACGCTGACCGGGGCTCCTTGGACCTGCTCACACACTCCGTGTGCTGGGCCTAGGGAATGGAAGCAGAATTCCTCATTGAGACATTGCATTGCAATACGGCCACGGACAAAGGGAAGCTGTTAGCAGAGGACCCGTTGCGAGTGCAGGGCCCGCGTCGCCATCTCCATCCATCTGCCCGCAAGCCATTACTGCAGGGTCAATTAAGAGAATCTAAGGCCAGAAGGAACTATCCTGATCATCTAATCTCCTTTCCTGCATAACTGCCTAGATAATTCCACCCTGTGATTCGTGTACAACCCCCCTAACTGCTGACTGAGCCAGAGTGTGGTTTTTAGAAAGACATCTGGTCTGGAGTTAGAGATTTCAGGTGATGGAGAATCCACCGCATCCCCTAGTGAGCTGTTCCAATGGTTAATTATCCTCACTGTTAAAAAATTGCAGCCTGAAATTGTCATTGGATCTAGTTATGCCATTATCGTCTACATTAAAAAGCCCCCTACTATCCCAAATCTTCTCTCCGGAGAGGTTCGTGTAGATCATGATAAAAGGAAATACCGTTTTTTGCAATGCATAATTAACCTTTGGAACTCACTACCTCAACCTACTGATACTGCCAAGAGATTAGCAGGCCTCTAAAAAAGGACTAGACAGTTCTATGGGTAATCAGAACATTGACAGTTCCACTAGACAGGATACAGGTTTATAAAGGATATAAAACCCTGATGCTTCTAGGTATAATCCAACCGCCAAGTGACAAGGGTAAAGAAGAACCTTTCCCTATCTGTTGCTGAATTTTTTGCATCTTCCACCGGAGTATCTGGCAGTGGCCCCTGTCAAAGATTGTCCATTAGACGGACCAATGGTCCGGGCCAGTTTGGCTGGTCCTCTGTGCTTATCAACCCAGAGAAAGCTGTGACTCCAGTGTGACAATCCATCGTTGCAGATTGGATTCCGTACAATTCTCCCACCCTTTTCAAACTGGAATCTGCAGATGTCACCAGAGGCCCCTAGACTCACGGCAAAGTAATACCAGAAAGGGACTTACCACCTATCCCGGTAGAGCCAGCTCTCAATAGGAACCCAATGCATCATGTCACACTGCTGACTGAGCCTTTGACAAGTCTCCTCCACCAATGAGCTGTTATCTGCGCTATTGGTTTTGGTATCAAGTTATCTAAATCCCACCCACAGACCAAGGCCAGTTTCCATTAATTAATGGAAACACCAGTGAACTCCAGGGGGCGCATTGGCTCCCTGGGAGCTGACCTTTGATGGGGATGTAGCGTGACGTGAGAAGAGCTGAGCTGGCATCTCCTTTCCACAGATGTGTCGGTCACGTTCAGAATACAGTCAACCCGACTCCTTGGGTTGCTGTGTCTGGTTTCTGCGCTTCTGCACACATTCTTTATTAATTATTAGTAGGAGTCCTAGTAGCATAGTGCCCAGGAGCCCCAGTCAGAGACCAGGACCCAATGGTGCTAGGGGCTGTACAAACCCAGAACAAAAAGATAGTTCCTGCCTGACAGAGCTCACAGTCTATCAGACAAACGATAGATAAAAACAGACCGACAAGATTTTCAATTGTCCCAATGGCCAGGCCTCTTGGTCGACTGAGGGACAGACCTATTGCACACTAAAGGCTAGCACAGAAAGGACCAGGCCTTAGACGGTCATATGGCATTCTGAGTTGGGCTGGCCACACCCTGGTAGTGTGTGGGCTAGGCAGGGACTGTCTTTTTGATCTGTGTTTGTACAGTGCCTAGCACAGTACAAACTGGGGCTCCTACGTGCTATCGTAATACAAATAATCAATCATAATAATAAGTGTTGACTTTATAAATGATATACACTAGTGCAGTGGTTTTCAAAGTGCGGGTTGAGACCCAGTACTGGGTCACGGAATGGAAGGCGCTGGGTCGCGGCAGCTCTGGTCAGTACCGCCGACCGGGCTGTTAAAAGTCCCGTTGGCGGTGCTGCCTGGCTAAGGCAGGCTAGTCCCTACCTGTTCTGACACCGCGCTGCACCCCAGAAGCGGCCAGCAGCAGGTCCGGCTCCTAGGCGGGGGGGCCATGGGGCTCCACATGCTGCCCCCACCCTGAACACCGGCTCTGCACTCCCATTGTCCGGTTCCTGGCCAATGGGAGCTGAGGGGGGTGGTGCCTGCGGGTCAGAGCCATGCAGAGCCGCTTGCGAGCCTCCGCCTAGGAGCTGGACCTGCTGCTGGCTGCTTCCGGGGCGCAGCACGGTCCACAGTGACAGGACAGGCAAGGAGCCTGCCTTAGCACCCCCGCTGTGCCACTGACTGGGAGCCGCCTGAGGTAAGCCAGTGCCCCAATTCCCTGCCCCAGCACTGAGCTACCCCCAAACCTGGAGCCCCCTCCTGCACCCCAACCCCCTGCCCCAGACCAGAGCCTCCTCCCGCACCCTGAACCCCTCATTCCCGGCCCCACCCCGCAGCCCTCACCCCCGTGCCCCAACCCGCTGCCCCAGCCCTGAGCCCCTCCCACAACCCAAACCCCTCATCCCAGCTCCGTTGGGTCGCAGGCATTAACAATTTTCTTCAACTGGGTCACCAGAAAAAAAGTTTGAAAGCCACTGGCCTAGTGTATGTGGAATGGGGATGGACGGGGATTGCTGGAGAGACGCCATCCTGCCAGAGCTCTCCTGCTTTGCTCAGGAGCAAGGCAAGGAGATGCCTGCACCGGGAGCTGGATTTATGGCCACCAGCTTTTTTTGACCTATTCGTTTTTTATCTGCCTGAAGCCCAGAAAGGGCCATCAGACAACCGAAGGGGAAAGCAGGCTGAGCAGCGGAGGCGTTTTACTATTGCAGGAAACCACAGCAGGAAACAGTCAGGGAGGTTTGCAACTTGGGTACAAGCCGTAAATTAAACTCTGTCAGGCTCAGCAAAATTCAGCCTGCGTTGTGAAGCCCCTTTAATCAAATGCATGAAATGGGAGGATACAGGGACCAAATGGGCCAGCGAGCAGGATCGGGGGGGGGCAGGAGACTTGAGTTCGGAACATAGGAATTGCCGAACTGGTTCCAACTAGTCCAGTATACTGTTACCAACAGTGGTTAATACTAGTTGCATCAGAGGAAAGTGCAAGAAACCCTGCAGGAAACAATTATGGAGTAACTAGTCCCTAGTTAAATTTACCTCCTGACCACTGATAGTTAGGGAGTGGTTTAGGCCCTGATGCATGTGGGTTTATATCCCTTCCAAAGTTTGTGTTTAATCTTTACTATTATAATATAACTATGGAAATTGTTGTATGCAGTGGTGTGGTAGCCGTGTTGGCCCCAGGATATGGGAAATGTTTGTTATCTATATACATGTCTGGTCCTTTTCTCAACCCTGCTAAGCACTTGGCCTCAAAGATATTTTGTGGTACTGAGTTCTATTCCTAACACTGCCACTTGCCTCACCATGTGACCCTAAGCAACTCTTTTAGCTGCCCCGTACCTCAGTTTCCCTCTCTGTGAAATAGGTACAGCATTTTTGTCCCCATCTTGCAGCAGTGTTGTGAAGCTTTATTTATAACCCTTCATGCCAGGCAAGCGCCTGTATGGTGCTAGGTACCTTCAACTCCCCCTGACTGCTAAAATCAGGCCCTGATTTTTCAAGCAGCTTCTAAATGTTGGGTTGCAGTTTCGGCCTGATTTTCTGGAGGTGCTGGGAATCCCCACATGCCTGAAGTGTCTCAAGTTGAGCATCCAAAAAATGGAAGCACCCAAAATCAGTGGCCACTTTAGAACACGTTGGTCTTCGTGTGCGAAGTCGCACTGAGAAAGGCCTCTCCTCAACTTAATTAGGTCTGATCAACACTGCAACCACATTTAGTTGGGCAAGACAAACAGAAAGATCTCTAAGATATCTGTCATTTACAGCTATCTATAGCCAGCCACAGACCTCGGCATGGGAGAAAACTGCCAGCAACGGTGTATCGCTTCATGACATCTAAACACAACAGGCTGGGCCAAATTCTGCTGTCTGTGACACTGGTGCAAATCAATCAAAGTCAGTGGGGTTGGATCAGTGAAGCAGGGCTGTTTATGTCTTCCTATGATTATTGCTGGCGATATTATTATTATTATTATTTATTATTAACCTGGTCACAACAAACGCCAGCAATGCAGCTCTCACCGTGTGAGCTGGCCCTTTAAGATGGATGAGGTTCAGCATCACCTGTGCCAGGTGTAGCCTGCCTCCCCAGGTGAAGGGAATGAAGAGGGGCGGGGGCAATGTGATGGGAGCGTGTGACTGAGCACTAGGCCTGCTGAGAAATATAAGGCCAGTGGTGACTCTCTGGTGTGCTTGAGCAGAAGCTGCAGGGATAAGAGTCTGCTAGGAGGAAGATCAGTGAAGCCAGCACTAGGAACCCTCCACCAAGGGTCTGAGCTAGCTTGGATGGAAGGTGGGTTTGGAGGGGGAGATTTGTGGGTGTTTGAATATTACTTTAATAAACCAGACTCCTGCAAAGAGGAGGCATGTTCAGAAAACACCAGCAAAAGGGTGATGGAGAACGGAGGCAGCGGCAGTGCCTGAAGCCACGTGGGGAAGCCCTGCTGCAGTGGCTCCAGGGCTTGGGTTGCCTTAATGAAAGGCAATAACCAGTGTGTGTGGGGGGGAGAGAGAAATAATCCCTTTGGCTGTTCTCTTGTTAGCACCTCTAGCTGGGCCTGGCCCTTCAGAACTGCTGCAAGGGTCTATTCCCATCCCAGGAAACACAGCAGGGACAAGGGTGGTATTGGTGAAGATGATGCCTGCCTTCCCCGGAGCTCGGCTGCGTCTCTCTGGAAAGCCAGTAATGCTTGAGGTGGGGGAGCCATTTTCTTGCCCCATTGCTTTTGATTTTCCTACCCTCCCTGCTGGAACATTCCTCCTAGGGTGACCAGATAGCAAGTATGAAAAATTGAGACAGAATGTGAGGGGTAATAGGCACCTAGATAAGAAAAATCCCCAAATATCAGGACTGTCCCTATAAAATTGGG